GTAAAGCGACGAGAGTAGAGATGTCCTAGCTGAGTAAAAAGAAACATGCAGATGACCGAAGAGCGCCCGAGGCATGAGGGAGCGGCAAAATTTACACCAGCATCGACCCTAAAAAACATGTGTTCAACAAGCATGGCGAGCACCAAAAGAACACTCTACCAAAGCAAAAAGCAAACTATGATTACGTGCGCTTTGGCAAACTTCACAGACCAAATGGTCAAACTGTTTATGTGTTTTTCCCGAAAGCATTGCGAAGGGTTCTTCCGGAAAATACCTTGAACACTGACACTTCGACACTTACGCTTACACACTGACACTTGGACACATACACGTCTATACGTATCCCAGTGTAAGGGTAAAAAGCATCCAAGGGTAAGTATGCAAGTGTAAAAGTATGCAAAAGTGCAAAAGTATGCAAGTCTCCCAGTGCAATCCCAGTGCAAGTATGCAAGTATGAGTATGGAAAACTTGCACGGGAGATGTCCTAATGAAAAACATTTCCCCACTTTATAAATTCCCTCTTAAAGGCGGCGGGTGGGGCGAACAGCGTCAACCGAAAAGGCAACCCTCTGCGGAGATCGTGCGTGTCAAGTGCGCGAAATGCAGGCGAGAGTGCGATTGGCGCGGTCCGCGCGCAACCCTCTGCGGAGATCGCGCGCGTCGAGTGCGCGAAATGCAGGCGAGAGTGCGATTGGTACGGTCCGCGCGCAACCCTCTGCGGAGATCGTGCCTGTCGAGCGCGCGAAATGTAGGCGAGAGCGCGATGCACCCTGGACGCGGGGAACCCTCTGCGGAGATCGCGCCTTTGTAGTACAACTTTAGTGCGCGGAGTATCTGGCGAGCTGGAAGATGAGAACTGGCGACTTTGTAGTACAACTTTAGTGCGTGGAGTATCTGGGGAGCTGGAAGATGAGAACTGGCGACTTTGTAGTACGACTTCAGTACGCGGAGTAGGTGGGGAGCTGGAAGATGAGAACTGGTGACTTGGTAGTACAACTTTAGTACACTTCTATTTTCGCTTTTCATTCAGCTCACTTTTTTCACTGAGATTTCCTGCAGCCGTGCACGCTGCTTCCCCCCTTACCAGCAGCTCAAATGCTCACGACCATGAGCTGGGCTGTCACCGCTTGGCCGCCGGCGGGGGGTTTGGGAGGCCTGCGCACCACTTCGTTCACCATAATACTGGTCGCGAGCCGAACAGCGAGACTACGCTAAACATCTGCAGTGCCTGCTGTGTGTCACCTCATGCTACTTTGTCACGTTTTCTTTGAGACAGTCATTTAGTCAATGACAAGCATAGTGGTTGGTTAACTACATCCTAGAAAGGCTGTGTCCTGGAGTGAAGGAAACGTTACCTCTGATCGTATATCGATACGCATCTCCTCTGACAGGTCACTGCTTTGACACACTTGTTGCGTACCTGCCTCGGCACTTTTCTGTCTTCACTCCAGCTCGCTTTTTTCAGTGAGATTTCCTGGAGGCGTGCACGCTGCTTCTCCCCTTACCAGCAGCTCAAATGCTCATGGCGATGAGCTGGGCTGTCACCGCTTGGCCGCCGATGGGGGGCTTAGGAGGCCAGATCACACACAGAGACCCACGCACTGCCTCAACTTACTCGAACACACACACACACAAAGAGAGACTCATATACACACGGACATAGATACACACACAGAGACCCACACACTACCTCAACTCACTCGACTTAAACACTTCACACTGAACACTTAACAGATAACTCACACTCTGACTTCCTACGTGATGAAAAATGTTTTCGGGCCACCCGTCGTCTAGTTGTTTTTGTTTTAGCCCGCCCTTAATTAAGTATGGCTAGTAGCCATTAGGTACTAGTAACAGGACGCAGGACAGCTCACGTTTCCTCGAAAAAGCGCTCGCACTATTCATTTGGCGCCTGAATTGTTAAGGAAACTTAATCCCTGAAGAATAAAACATTGAACCGGAAAGTAGAACAAATTACAGTTTTCAAGAAACTGAGTGCAAAGGACGAAAGGAAGAAAGGAAGGTCTAAAGGGTAGAGGAAATAACAAAAAAAACTTGGTTTTTCGTTGGTGGCATAGAGGACTCGTTCAAACGGTTGAAAGAAGCTGGAACGATTGCCCCTTCGTGATCTTGATGCCAGGGTGCAGATTTGCTGGCTCAGATCGAGTTCCTGTTGTCCAGGGTCGAGGCCTGTGTTGTATTTTGCAGATCTCATCACTATTAGGTTGGAGGCCATCGCTAGTAGTAACAAGGGCAATACTGTAGCTAGAAGCTACTAGGAACAAGTGCATCGCTTCTAGTAACAAGTGCCTTACTAGTAGTAACAAGAAGCTACTAGGAGCAAGGGTAGGAGCAATGGCATCGCTCGTAGGCTTGTTTGCCTCTAGCTACTACCTACTTCCTCCCGACCGCACCGACCGGGGTCGCGTGCTGGCCCAGGTCCACTAGCGGCCTACTCTCCCTTAAAAAGAACTTGCTACCAGTAGCGATGCGCTTATTCCTAGTAGCTTCTTGTTCCTAGTAGTAAGGCCAGGGGCCCCTAGTAGCGTCCTGCCTCCTAGTAGCGATGCCAGGAGCCCCTGGTAGCTTCTTGTTACTAGTAGCGATGCACTCGTTACCCGGTTCCATTCCTTGGAGACCATTCTTCGTTTCTTCCTTCGTGCCAAAAAAACGAACACCAATAAAACCGTGGGAAGATTGACTCGGTAGATTCCCAACGATAGGAAAGCCAAGATCACATGATTGACGCTTGAGCGTGATTGGCGGTTCTTGCCCAACTGCGTATCGTCTCGTGAGCCTCGTCGTCAAAAACACACGGGTTTCGACTACCGGAGGTAGCAGTGGGCTCTGAAGAACGGGCCGCCACGTTGCATGCAGCGCAGGTGAAGGCCCCCTCCGACGTCTTTGAGATGGTCTTGTTTACTTTTCTTCAAAACCGTTAATTCTGTAGTCCTTTCTTCCTTTTTATTGCTTTTGCTTTCTTGATCTTCATTCTTTCCTTTCTTTGCGTCAATTGTTTTGCCTTCTAGACCTCAGTAGACCTCTAGACTCTAGACCTTTCTCTTCGGTCCGTTCTTCTTTTCTTAGGGGATGTAAAACATTGCGTTGCTTGGTGTTTTGTTTCCAAAAACCTGAGTTTGCACTCAGGTACCAAAGGAACTCCTGAGTGTGGCAGAGACGCAGCTCAATTGCCTGAATCATTTGCACTCGGTCCGGACTTCCAGATTATCGCAAGAATGCTGCAAGAGTATGAACTTGACATGTTCTCGTTCAAGCAAGATCAAGCAAGGAGCTTTTGCTCCTTCATGTTGTTTAAAATGTGTTTCATTTGTTTAAAGCAAGTGTTACATTTAAGTGATGTGTCTTTAAAAAAATAAAGATAACATATTTGCTAACTTGTCACATGAATGCGTCCCTAAATAGTGCGAGCGTGAGCTATCTTGTAGGTACTAGCTACCGTTTACTACTAGCTACCTCGGCCTACCTTCAAAAAACCATTCCGCTCTCAGGTGCTTCGCGCCGGGGACGTCCCCGCAACGAGACGCGCCTTGAAGTTGGCCGAGGCGGAGCGGAGATGTGACTCGTACCGCCTCCGATGCCTTGAGCTGTTTGCGCCTTGTTCGCTACTAGGACAAGTGCATCGCTACTAGTAACAAGTGCCTTACTAGTAGTAACAAGGACGCTAGTAGAAACAATAATTAGAATTTAGTAATATCTTCTTGTTACTACTAGTAAGGCCCTTGCTCCTAGTAGCGATGCACTTGGCTCCTAGCAGCTTATTGTTTCTATTTACATATTGTTCCCCACATTGACGTGTGGGTTTTTTGTTTTTAGTGTTGTATCCCGCCCTCCTCCTCCTCCTCCCGCCCTCCACTTGCCACCAAGCAATTGCCACCAACAACTGCCACCCACAATTGTCGTGAACCAATTTTCAACAACCAATTGTCACCAACCAATTGTCGTCGACAAATTGTCACCCACCAATTGCCACCAACCAATTGTCCACCAGCTAATTGTCTTCTCCAGGGGGGTCGGATGTACGCCCTGGTGCTGGCCGGTGCTGGTGGGTCTCCGCCGCTGTGCCGCTGTGATTTGCGTGCTGCGACTGATCTGCGCGAGGTTCCATACAAACTTCGGGCGCGTGCTGGGATCGAGTTCTCCCGAATAGAGACACACGCGTCATCAAGACTGGATCCACCTATTTACACACGCACCCGGACACCCGACAACCTGTAAGACAACCACCAAACGACAATCGCCATCCCCATCCACTTCCAAACGACAACCACCAAGCAACCACCACTCCCCCCCTCTCCCTCCTCCCGACCACTTCTCCTGCGCGAAGTTGTTAACATGTGGGGGTCATCCGGTCCTATAATTTGTGTTTTTGTCTTGTGGCTCTTTTTGTTGCAATGCCTTAATGGCCTTAGTGGTTCGGAGAAAAGCAAGGAAGTTTGGAAGGTTGAGAAGCGCTCTCATGTTCGATTTTGGGAGAAACTTCAACTTTCCACGACTGCTCTTTGTTCCATTCTTTCGACAGATTTTAAGCATCGAAGAAGGCCCTTACGACGCGCCCCTAAAGTCGGCACCGTCGCGAAAGAAATCGAAGCATTTCCTGTTTTTTTTCGCCCTCCAACCACGAAAATGCCAGGTTGCTGGCATCAAACCCGAGGAGATCGTGGGAGCCCCAAGACATCCAATTCACTGTTTCAAGAAAGGAAGACAAAAGAGTTTTCGACTGAAAAACACAGTGAAGCTTCACGCTACCGAAAGAAACACGCTACCGAGTAGCTGAGTAGCTACTCCTAGATTCTTTCACCGAGGTGGAAGCTCGTGCCGTTGAACGGCGCTGGGGCCAGCTGACCCGGGAGCTGGAGATTGCGGTCGAAGCCTAAGCAGCGGCGTTTTTCCGCCAGGAAACGGTCGACCTTTTTTGCACCTTCACAGCAACCCGGTTTGTGTATTTAATTTGCACTTGGCAGCGCCAAAACCAGGTTTCGATGGGCAACACTCAACGGTTGCGGAAAGCTTTGGAAAACACCGAGAACAGTGGAATCTCGCAGGAGTCGAAAGCGGCAACATGGTTATGCTCGCTCCGAAACCACCCTAAGAATATATGCTTTTCTTTAAAGCCCGCTCCCCCCGCTACAGGTACTGGTAGCCAGTACCTTACTTAAGCTACTGATATGGACGCAGGATAGCTCACGCTAATCATTTGGTTCCTAATAGCTTGTAAGGCCAGGAGCCCCCAGTAGCGTCCTGGCTCCTAGTAGCGATGCCAGGAGCCCCTAGTAGCTTCTTGTTCCTAGATGTTTCGGGAAATTTACTTGCTGATTGAAGGGTTTTGTCCAAAGACCTTTAAGACCACAAGTGTTCTCTTCCAGGTTGCAACTTTACAGAGGAGCAAGGACGCTACTAGGGGCTCCTGGCTTTACTACTAGGAACAAGAAGCTACTAGGAGCAAAGGGCATCGCTCTAGGAGCAAAAGGATTCTACTAGGGCGCAAATAACTAAAACAGAAAACAATAAGCAGTTGACATTTGAGAGATGCAGCTATTCAGTCCGGTACCAGGGTAATCTGGCATGCAACTCATACCTCTTGGAATCTAATTATTTGTTTCTTTGCGTTGTTGTTCTGTAGCTTTCTCTTTTTCCCTTCCTTTCAATGAAGATTTGAGCACTCACCACATGTACAGATTTGAGCTTGACCGCAGGTGCACCTTTTCGCAATTCAAAAGTATCGCTACCAAGTTTGGTAGCGGAGCTTCGTGCTCCAGGGACCCCACCCGGTTTGAATAGGCCCGTCCGGTTAACTGATATCCTCGGTTTTCCCTGCCATTGCGCTGCTGTGGCTTTGGCTTTCACCTGCACGCCTTTCGCTGTTTTTCGGCACCTGCACTCCGATCGATCCAAGGCATCCTCGAGCTCTATACTGGTGGTCTTTGGCTGCTGGCTAGCGCTCCTGGCTGCTTGGGAGATCGAGCTCATGGACCCTTCATCCCTGCCGGCTTTGAGGCCACGATTCCGGACAGGGAGAATAAGCCTGAGAAGGCCTTGAGTTGAAGGCCATGGACGGATCTGCCCCGTCCACGGTGTCGGGACTTCCCCTCCAAGAGTATAGAAAGGATGTTCCTCCTGGTTGGGCTCCCAACATCCCGGACTATCCCCTGAAGCTGTACTTCGAGCGTCTTCGAGTTTGGTACAGGCTGTTCGAAGGTCCTGATGAAACTGTTGGTCCTCTGATGGCAGGACGACTTCAAGGAAGAGCCCAACAGATAGCACTCCAGCTTCGACTACCTGACCCTCTCGGCAACGTGGATGTTGGTGACAGTGCATTGGTGAGATTGGCAGTGGATGAAGTGAGAGATCCTGCTCAACCTCACATCATCCTCCAACATGCCATACCCTCAGGGGTTCAAGCGCTCACCAACGCACTTCGTGAAGCTTTTGGAGACTCAGCTCAACTCCAATCCACCAAAGCTCTTGAGGCCTTCTTCGACTTCAGGAAGCAGAAACTCACCCTGCAGGAGTTCAGCGTTGAATGGACTCTGAGGCTTGAAGAAGCCATGAAGCACGCTGGACTAGAACTCAACAACGTCGCCAAGACCTTCCTGTTCTTCAGAGCGTCTCAACTCCCTCAACGACATGTTGACAATGTGTTGATGCAGCTTCAAGGTGATATGTCAAGATTCACCGAAGCCAAGACCCTGGTTCTGAGAATGGCACATCGCCAGAGCACGAGAACATTCCAGAGCGACGTGACTATGCCTCAACCTCTGGTGGAAATTGGCCTGAGCCTGACACTTCATGGGACTACTACGACTCCTATGACACCGGCCTCAACTACCACACGCAATACTACCAGATGGAAGACAGCTGGACTGATGACACATGGGACAGCCCAGATGCCTGGCAGATCTGGTTCGATGATGACAATGGAGAATGTGTATGGCCTGACTATGCAGAATGGCCTGAAGGAGAAGAACACTATGATGATTGGTATCAACAACCTGATGAACCACAAGAAGCTCCCGAAGAGACCAACGACTACTACAAAGGAAAAGGAAAAGGCCAAGGATATCGAACATCGGGATCCTTTGGCAACATTGGCCGCACAATTTGTGGCAGCAAGTGCCATTCGTCCTCATCCTGCCCAATGAGCAAAGGTTCCTCCAAAGGAGGCAAAGGCCCTGGAAAGTCATGGCCTAAGGGCAAAGGAAAAGGCAAGGGCGGCTTTCGTCGTTGGAAAGGAAAAGGAAAAGGCTTCAGACCTTTCTCCAAAGGCTATGGCAAGTTTGGCCAATACGGCAAAGGAAAGAACAAAGGCAAAAGCTACTACGACTACACCTTTGCCACCAAGAAAGAAAACGATCTCTATGGATCTCCATTACGACAACATCGACTACTTCGACATGCTCGAGAAGGCATTGCCCTGACACCTGAACGACCTACAACCTCTGAGCGACAGGAAGCTGTGCCTCCGCTTCCCAAGAAGAAAGTTGAGCCATCCTCTGAATCGCCCTTCAAGGTCTTCGGCAATGTCAAGAAGGACTACCTCCACAAGCATGATACAAAAGAAAAGGAAGACAAGAGTGAGTGAAGAAGTGCAAACAGCCTCTGCATCTACTCCCAAAGAGAAGGTCCTCAACTTTCCCGTCGCGCAGCACTTTGGCGACAACAACGAGATTGTCGAGACCTTCCACATGATCCAAGGAGTCAAGCGCAGAGGCCTCTTAGTTGATCCTGGTGCAGCGGCTGGCCTGATTGGAAGTGAAACACTTCGAGACATCATGGAGAACTGCATCAAGCCACAAGGTCTTGAAACTGGAGTTGAACGGCGAGAGAAGCAGACATCGGTCACAGGCATCTCTGGCAAAGGTGATCAGACCATGGCGGAGATCTCCTTTCCCTTCAAGCTGGATTCAAAGCAGCAAGCTCGATACTCTGCCGACGTTCTCGGAGGAGAAGGAAGCTTGTGTCCGGCTCTCGTCTCAAATCCCAGCTTGCTGTGAACTTCATGAGAACAGTGATGCACATCTCCAATTCTCGCTGGCAAGATGTGAATGTCTCAGGAGCCTACTGCTTTCTGAACACCACTCAGGCGGCGCACGGGCTTGAGCGGAATGAACACGATGAACAACAAGAACAACAAGATGATGAAGCGCGACATGAAACCTATCGGACCACAAGCGAGGAGGTTCCAGAACCACAACATGATAAACCTCATGATCCACAACCAAGGATTCAGGATAAGGAGAAGGAGAAGGACCAGCGCCACCGTGATTTCTGGAAGCAAACATCCACTGGCTGGATTCGACATCATGTCCGGCCGAGAACCAATATGTTCTCTCCCTTCGCAGGCAAGTTCCCGGCAGACCTGCGAACCCTGTCACTGAGAAGAAAGACAACTGCTCACTACCTCGATGACACTAGTGAGATTGTCAACGACAAGTGGAACAATGATGTTTCCTTACAAGCGCCTCTCAGCAAGAAGTGGACTGGCTTCACCGAGTTCTTTTACAAGACAGATGATGACCAAGACTCCCCGCCTGCCACTGACATGAGAGAGAACAAGAACTATCACACTGAATACTTTGACCTCATGGACCACAACGATCACTGGTTCACAGAAGAAGAAGTCCAAGAATATGAAGGTGACCATTTTCCCAGTCACATCTCCGAAGAGAAGCGCACATACCTCAAGAAGATGTATCGAGCCATTCCAGAGGAGTTCTACACGCATCTCAAGGTCTCTCCTGTCACTCCTGACAACGTCAAGCAATGGATGGACCGAGTCTCCAACAAAAACCGACAGAAGAAGAAATGGTGCAGTGGCAGCGCAAGACTGACACTACTAGCCTTCCTCTCCGGCATGTGCGTTCTCTTTCCTGTGGACATGCGCTACGGCTGGGACATCGGCCATCCTCCACATCAGAAGCTGCTACGAGAAGTACAAGAGCAGTTTGCACCCGACACGCTGATGATGTCGCCTAACTGTAGGCCCTGGTCAGTGTCCTCAAACAAGAGAGAACCTGAAGTGATCCAACGTGAACGACAAGCAGAAATGCCATGTGTGAAGTTCTGCAAAGAAAGTGCTGTGAAACAATGTCAACAGAAGAAACACTACGTCCTAGAACAGCCTTGGTCCTCAGCTCTTTGGCATGAACTCCATGATATGCCTGGACATCCTCAACGAACAGACCAATGCCAATTTGGAGCTGAAGATGAAGAGCATCGTCCCATCTTGAAACCAACAGGACTGCTCAGCGATGCGCCACTACATCATGTACTACGACGATGTGGCGGACATGCTGGACCACATGGCTGGCTACAAGGACAAGTACAAGGAAAGAACAGAACCACGCTGGCAGCTGTGTATCCGAAGAAATTCTGCAATGCTCTCCTGAAGGACATCAGGAAATGGTCGACGACAATGACACAGACCTACTATGAATGTCCCAAGTGCAAAGAAGGCAGATGGTCCATCGAAGAACACACCCTGATTCCAGGACAATGTCGACATGGCAAATGGCCCGAAGGCTTTGGACCAAAAGGCAAGATCCCTGTTCCTGATCTGGTGGCAGACTTCAAGCAAGAAGCCCTGAACAACAAGAAGGTACAGAAAGCACCCTTGGGCACACTGCCGAACTTTGACATGGATCAAGAACAAGTCGCTCTTTTCAAATACTGCATGATCACCATCCTCAAGGACAGCGCCGACGACTTTGAGAGTCAGGAGAAGAGTGGCAAGAAAGAAGTTGACTACGCGCGCTGGAGCACTAACCCAGTGATCCTTTCCTGGCTAAGAAAAGTCCTCGAAGACAAAATGACAGTCTGAGTCGAGCCACTCTCAACGTCTTGAGCCTGTCGACTTTGATGATGATTGGATGGTGTGTATCTTTGGAACCTATCCTCCTTCATCGTCCTCATCGCCGCCTAAGAAAGCATCAGCATCTACTGCACCTGAAACCTCATCTTCCACAACGCCTAAGGCAAAAGAAGATGAAGCAAAAGAGAAGAAAGACGAAGAAGCAGTAGAACCACTACAAGAGAAAGAACAACT